AATCCTCTACTTGTTCCTTCGCATCTCACACGCACATGTAGGCTCCTACCTTCATCCCACACATATATATGGTGGCTCTGTGGCTCAGGATCTACGCCTGTGACTGGAAGGTTGCTGGTTCAACTCCTGCGGGCGGCAGAGGAATCCTACTCTGTTGGGCCCCTGAGCAAGGCCCTTAACCCCAACTGCTCCAGGGGTGCTGTACAATGGCTGACCCTGTGCTCTGACCCCAAGCTTCTCTCCCTGTCTGTGTCTCATGGAGAAAAGCTGGGGTATGTGAAAAGACAAATTCTTAATGCAAGAAATTGTATAGGGCTAATAAAGAAACATTATCATATACATGTAAGAATCTTTATTTCATCAAGACCAAGTGCAGAAACCCACAGCAAATTGGTGAGCACCGCTGCAGGAAGTAATGATCAGGGTTAACCATACAAATCCTCATTTTGTATCCATTCAAGTGATTTTGTGTTTTGGCGTTTCTTGGTTCATCAGCTGAATGGGTTGTTGTCTTGAGGTAAATGAGGTCAAACTGAGTATGCACAGCCTCGGATGTAAGCACAGAGCTCTCGAGACGTCTGTGAAGCTGCACTCTCATCTCCTGTGCTAAATTAATTCATTTGCAAGGGTGATTGTGTGTTCAATAGGCTCTGAAGAGGTATCACTGGCAAGCAAGTACGTCTTAATGCACTTCAGAAATGGTTCAGGGACACTGGAAATTTGAAGAGCCCACACTTCTTGTACTACATATGTTATTAAATAATGTCTTTGCCCTGACTCAGCTGAAGGAACTTTTAAACGCTAAGCATGTTAACTGAGCAACTAACTTGCCACTGGTTGGCTTTCTGTGTTTGTTGAGATCCGGGAGTTGCTACTGTGATAGAGTGAACGACATAATAAAGTCAAGGCTGTGGAAAGTGTGAATGACTGGAGCGCCATAAAATATTAATCCAACACAACCAAAAGCTCCGAGCTGCAGAGACAAGAGACGATATGGATCCTGCAGCACCCATCGGATCAAATGTTGTTGTCACACCGAAGTTTCTACACCTTGGTCTACACAAAGTAGAACACGTCAGCTCGTCGTCGGGTGATGGGTTTGCAGGCGACAGGAGAGACCGTCTGGGCGCGAATGAGGTCGCTTTGGTGAAACGGGGAAGGCACGCCAGGAATGCTGTCGGCGAAGTGCTGTTGCTTTGTGAATACGGCGCAACCTGGGTGCGCGCTGTGTCCTCCGCCCCCTCGCCGTGGCGCTAGGACCCGGGGAGAGCGGAGACTAGCTGTTCGGCAAGCGGCAGCGGCACCGGGACTCCAATCGCTCCCCCGGATTCCAGCGTGAACTTCCCTCGGCTGACGTCAGCTGGCAGGCTCGGCTGTACTCGCCGCTCCGGACATAGCGCTGTGAAAAATGCTGCTCTCCGTGCCGCCAAGGACAGGACTCAACCCTTACAACGGCTACAACAGCAGAAACACCAAAAAGGTAAACCGATCCCGCGTTTCGCGGTCCGCCCCCGCTCTGGGCCGGCCGGCGGGGCTGGTTCGGCGGTTTGGGCTGACAGGATTCGGCGAGCCGCCGAGAGCTGCAGTGTCCTTGAAAGCGAGACGCGCGGAACAGCAACTTCAGTATTCGCAGAACACGGCTGCTGTTACTGTACTGTACCCCGCTGCCGTGCGAGTGTCACACAGAACTACGGCGGCGCCGGCGATTTCCTCCTTTTCACCTCAGTGGGCTTTTTGCCTTTTGGGTTAATGGCACAGAAATGTAACTACAGCGAACGAACTTGCGCGGAGAGTAGAGGACTAATATGATTATAATGGGGGTGGGTGGTGTGTTTGGGGGGGGTGGTTGTTGATATAGTGTTAGTGACGAGGGACAGGCAAGGGGGGTGGGGTGGTGAAGTAATCGATTATTGCGACGAGAACGGAGCTGCACTCTCAGATTCACGATGTAAAGGGGGGGAAAAAAAACCCCCCTCCCCCCCAAGCCTTTAAAAAAACCGAAAAAGTTGGCAAAAAGTTTTTTTTTTGTTCTATTAAAACCAAGTGGTAGGTTGCCCCACCCCTAAAAAAGGGGGACAGAAAGAATCCCACTACGAGGACTAGACTCGAGCTCTGCTTTGCCATCTTGACGAATCGTTAAGAAATTCAATCAAATCGTCAACCCCCCCCCTTCGCGTTTTGGGCCAAAGATATTTGACAACCCCGTCCCTCCCCGGTGAAGGACTCGGGCCTTTTCTAAAGAAAAGACCATTTGAAAGATATTTCATACTTATGTAACAGTGGGTATATGCGCTACTCGCCCAGCGTTGCCGTGCGGTCAATTTTATTGTGACTTTGTTGCACTTGAGGGAAAACAAGTCGTTTAACTTTATGACGTACAGCGAAAACTGGAGACAATGCCTTGTTCGCAAGTCGTCTCAGCACGAACTTCACAGCGAATTCCTAATACAAGAAAGATTGTGTATGGCCAATAAAGTGATCTTATAAAGGGAAACTGGCCGGCTGGGGTTGAACGGGTATCTTGTAGACATGGAGGTTTCTTCTTACAGATTCAAGTTATCGCCTGTGACAGCAGGAGAGAATAGCTTATGCAAAACGCAAGAATAAATGGGAAAGGTCAGTGGTAATCTTTGCACCTAAACAATCTTTTCCGAGCTGCCGATTAAAGCATCATGGACTGAAATGTTTACCTTATGGCTCCCGCTTGTATCCGTGCAGAACCCTGGCCCTCGGGGTTTCCCTACCCGTGTCTGATCATCCCCCCCACCTCACTGCCAACGCGGTGCACAACACACCGAACCATCGGTCTGGAAGGTACTTCTGACTGTTTCTGCGTGCATCTTGAGAGTAAATACTTGGGCTGTTGGGGGTAGACGCAGAGCCTCAGATTGATTCTGAACATGTCTGTGTAGTATTAACTTAAATATCCCACTGAGTTTCTGCCGTGGAAAAACAACCGCAGAAAAGAGAGGGGTGTTGCAATTTGCTATTCCGATAACTGCGTACGGAGCGGTTTTAAAATGAACGCCGGCCCTGCTCCGGCGACAGCCGACAGTGACGGCTCAGGTGAGCTCGTGGGGTCGGACTGCTGTCCCCCCAGCGCGTGCACCTCCACACGTAAGCCTTTCGCACCTCGCGCTCGCCCCGGCCAGGCAGCAGGGCTCGCCTTGTGCCTCGGCTGTCTGTCGGCGATTTCACCGGCTCTTCACCTGCCCGGCTGCTGCCCCCGCCTTCGCACCTGACCCGGCCGTGCAAAAAAAAAAACCCAAACACGTTAAATGAATTGCAGCAACGTGAGAACGGTAACGATTCTGGTCGTGGCGAACGTAAAATAGTCAACATTTGCTGGTCAAGTTGTGCTTTAATTGCATGTTTGGAAGCATATCAAGAGGTATCAAGACACGCCTGCAGTCTGTATTTGTGGTTGGCTTGTCAATGTCCGTCATGGGGAGGCTCTGAAAAACTCTGATTGTTAATGTGCCATAATGCTACACAAAAGCGGTGCTGGAAAGCCTGCACGAGGGAAAGTGTTAAGGAATGGAAAGAACGTGTATTTTAAATATAAATCTTACGGATGCGTCATGCGCGACGGTCTATGAAGCCTTGCAGCATGGGGTACTGTGCGTCTCCGATCTAACGCGTATGCTTTTGATATACTGTAGTGCTTTTTCTGCAGCGTCCTGTTAGGTGCAGTAAAACGTTAGATAAGGCGCATAAACCTCTTAAGAACCCGGCCCTTTGAAGAGGTCTGGCAGTATTGGTGTCACCTGTATGAACTGTATGTAGACAGAAAACAGATTAATTATTAGTGAAAGATGCTCCGTTATACATACTGACACAGGTGCTGGATTAAGTGAAACTGATGCACGAAACAGCCTGTGTTTTTTGAGACGACAGAGAGAGTCTAAGGGCGCTACCTATGGCCCAGTGCAGTTTCACCGAGAGGAGAGCACGGCGCAGTTCCACCCTTTCTCCCTCCTCCGTCTCGCGCTCCCGGTGGGAGCAGAGCAGGGCAGCCCTGGCCCGGGGGACGGGCCCTGGTGCCGGGCTGGATCCGAGGGAAGGAGGGAGGAGGTGTCGGGCGCTCTGGCGGGATGGGTCTGGGCGGAGTGTAAACAGGCTGTCGGCAGGACGCTCCGTCTCTGAAGCCGGCGTGGGGCTCGGGCAGCAGAGCACAGGACAGGACGAGTCCTTGCTGCCCGAGCTCAGCCACGAGAGGCTCTCAGTGCCCTCACACCCCGGCCACTGCGGACTTCACTGCCGGCCTCACCGCTCAAGATCCTCTTATTTAGACCTTCATCTCCTCTTTGTGCAAGGGCAGGTAGGGCTGTGGGGAATAAGAGAAGCCTGAGCCAAAAGCAGGGCTGTCAACTCTCGAGTCCTGCAAGTTGTATAGGAGCTTTTCAATGCCTAGCCGATTGATAGCAAAAAAAGGGCAATATGGCTTCTTATCCATATAAACTTGATTATAAGATTCCAGGTGGACAGGTAACCAGGAGACCCTGTGGTTCTCATACAGTGATTTTGCCCACCCTGGGTTTAAAAGTCTATGGGCAGGCTTCTGCTACACAGCTCTTGGGTCCTGGGTTGGATCCCAGCATTGAGAGATCATTTGTGTGGAGCTTGCCTGCTCCCTAACAGGCTCCCATGTCCTTTTGCTAGCTATTTCCCCACCAGGCTTCACACATGCAGGGACGTGGGGTCATGTGTCTTTACCTCTGTGCTGCACTGCATTTTAAACATCAACAGCTAAACATTCCACTGCGCTTTAGCACAAACACCTGCGACATTCATCAGGAAATCCACAACCATTGTTGACCTTATAACATAAGGAAAGTTAGGTAAATTTAGGTTAGGTTTCACCGCAGCTAACTGATTCAGGGATTTCATTAACCACGTCTTGAAAGAAGCAGGGCGTTTGCTTCGACAACATGCCAGGGTAGCTAGTTCCAGACTCCAACCACCGCCGGTTGCCCCTTTGCCCAAGACTTGAAATCCCATCAACCTAGACTGGACTATTACTGATACAGTCATTTCTCCAGCAGTGGAGCTACACGTGCTTACTGGAAAGACAGAACTGTGGAGGTCACATTGACATACGCCTCGATTCCCAGCACACAAAAACACTACCCTGCACTCGTGGAGGAAAGGGATGGAAATTGTCCTACCGGTTCCGCTTTCCTCCCATCGGTCCAACACGTGCTGGCTGGGTTTGACGGGCTTTTCCGAAAGGTCCCACATGCTGTGGCTCTGTGATGTATCGGCAGCCTGTGCTTCCAGGGTCAGCTCTGGCGTGTTAAGGCTGTCTCCGGGATGAGCCGCCCCTTCTGATAATGCACAGCTGGAGATGGAGCACGATCAATGGACGGGTCAGCAGAAGGCACCAGTGGGGGGGGGGGGAGTGTTGCTGGAGGAATGGCAGCCCCTGGCCACGGCCTCGCTTGCACCCTGCCAGACCTCACTCAGTTTATCAGAAGACCCAAACAGCTGGCACGATGACGTTTTTGAAAATGGCAGCTGATCCCTCCTAAAGGGTTCTAGTGTGGTACACCTTGGGGTAAAAGAGCCAACCACTGCAATGGCCAAAGAAGATAGGCGACATGTGTCAGCAAGTTCTCCCACCCTGTCTGACCTGCTTTGAGCTCTTTACTACAAAATAGTTTCCCGCTGCAACTTGGTCAAGTGGCCTCTTCAGTACTGACGATCCAGGATTTTCAGTGTGTCGATCATTGTTTAATACTCGCTGCGTACAGGGAAATGGTGAAAAGGTGTGGATTTGCCATTGGAACATTTCATCATGACCAGCCCGTGAACTTCGCTGATGGCTTCAGGCTTTGCCGGTGAAGTGGACTGACAGTTTACCTTACCAGGAGGCCAAACAGGGGACTGGTCCTGTCTAAGCGTGCGCTCAAGCTGCCCCATTTCTCCACCAGCTTCAGGATTCCTGTCGGTTTCTGCCGCAGTGGAAGGCATCGTGTATGTTTTAGTTTTCAAACCCTTGCTGTGACGCGGTCAGTCCAGATGCCAAATCCTCTTCATGTCAGCAGGACAGAAATGCCTCATGCAAGATGCACATTGCTGCCAGCAAGCCGAGTCTCCCTGCTTAAGAAACCACTGTCCTTGATTGCTTCCCTCTTGAGTTCTGGTGACTCCAGACATCAGGGATCGGTGTTTTTCGGACGTGTGGCTTGAATGTGCCATGTTTTTCATATTACTAGTTTTGAATTTGTGGGTGTTGTTTTGGGTGGGACTGGGCAGTCATGCCAGCAAAATGCCAGCAGCTCCACGATTCTGAACGATTCTTGCGCCAGACGAAAACAACCGCGTGGCTCTCAGAGATTCATACCTGCTGTGTCCAAACAGTTTGCACACTTGAGTTTCCGAACGAACCTTGAAAAAACACTACTGTGCAGCCCGGCATCACTATCAGGCTTCTTAGATTTGTTTTCCCTGATTACATAAAAAATTGCAGAATGGGAT